TTTAAGTACTAAATATAAAACGGTTAACACACTTGTACAATAGATTCCACTTCAGTTTTTAGTTTATCATTACCAATTTAATTAAGTTACATTTTTATTTTTTTTTGCCGTGACAAAAGGTAGCACTGCTATTCCTCTGATGGCCGATTACATTAAAAGCACACCTCCCACCGGCACGGGTTACCCGGGGTGCAGCCGGGTTAAATGCGCATCAGGGTAAATCAACGGTAAAACGGACTTCAGCACTGCAGCATCCAGATGACTCCACTGTCGGAAAGAGGCACATGGAAAGCTCCTTTTCTGACTGTTTTCTATGCCGGCCTTAGGCTTTATTCCACACGCAGGACTGGGGAGGGGGGTGTCTTCCAAGGACAGGTTTCACAAGCAGTTAGTTTGCTAGCTAGCAGTAAATTCAGATACCAGCAGAAATAAAGTTACTGCAAATTCCTCCAACACGACTATTACTTAGCACAGGCATTTACTCTTGTTGCTCACTCCTCCTCAGCTGGGCCTTGCACTCCACAAATAAAAGAAAGCCAAGCCACATAGTTAAAATTCATGTTTTTATATGAACAGAAGTAGACCATCTAGAAATATTTCAGTTTATTAACTTGTTAAGTAGAATATGAAACTGAGTATTTAGCTAGTAGTACCAGAGAGTGGACTGTTCTCTGTTCGGTTTCAGCGAACACAGCTTCTACAAAGGATCCCACCAGACTTACACAGAAGGAGCCGGGCCCCCTTTACGCAAATAATAAGCTCACGTTTAAAACAAAGATTATACAAAAAAAAAAAACAAAAACAAAAACCAAAATTGATGTATATTTCTCCATTTTCCCTTTTTGATAACGTTAGAAAGTGCAGCTTTAACAAAAAGGTAGCCATAGTCTATTTACAACGCTGACCAACAGGCTTCGCACGTGAGAAACAAAACCACGTCGATTTTATCAACTAGCGTCCCAGTGTCCTGCCCTAGCCCAACAGCCACTCAACTGGGAAGGGTTAACAAGTACAGAGACAAAATGCCAAAATACAGAGGAAAAGGGAGACACATCAGTAAAGTTACTACACGGAAAGCAGGTCAAAACTAGAATTTCAATGTTAAAACACTGTCATCTCATTAGAGTTAAATCAGCATTATTTACTACTTTAATTATTTACCGGAGAAAAGTCCAAAAACCAAGCGGACAAGAGTCAGGCACGAGCTTGTCCAACTTTAAAGTAGAATGGGAGGCTTTTGGCGGGGTGGGGGGGAGGAGGGGAGGTGTCTGTTTAAAATATCCGTGTGTCCTTGGCTGGAGAAGTTCTCCTACGTAGTATTTTAAACGCAAGGCAAGTGAAAGCACAAACGCTGTTGCAGACTGAACATCCAGTTCAACAGGAGCAGTCCAAAGAGTCAGACTGGCAGTCATCAACCCCCTTTTCTTTCGGAAACGAAGGAAGCCGTTCAATTATCCGAACGCAGGTGCCTCACTAGGACACGAGCAGCACAGCTAGCATGCCCTTATCTACAGGCAAAGCAAGGCGGCAAACTGGAAAAGCAAGTTAATACCGCAGGGACTCAAAAGCCCTCCGTGGATCACCCGCTCCATACCCATTACTTCTGGAGTGAGCGCAAGACTGACTGAAGTACAAACGACTCACAGAGCTTTTAACGCTGGGAAATGGAAAGTTTTCAGGGAGGCAATAAATTCAACTGCCAACGTTTTGGTTTTTTTTTTTTAAATCTAGTTTTACTTGGCCTTTTGCTAGGCTACCGAGCCACCTGTTGGAGAGGCTAACAGTAAGAGAGAACTTTTAAGTTCATGTCAACTGCTGTCAGTTTGGGAATTGCATCTTATATTCATACACATAAAGTAGACAACCACATCACCCTCCATAGAAAACTAGTGCATGCAAATAACTCTTCCATATCATAAAACCCAATGGCTATGCAGGAGGAGAGAGAAGATATACTAGTGAACTGACATTGGCTAGAGGGAAATTAGTAGGTATCTTCAACATTTTATCTTGAAAGCTAAGTCAGTGCTTTGTATTAAATTTTTGGCAAACATACCACGTTGCCATCCTTTTAATTAACACATCACACCATGAAGAAAAGCAAATAAAAGCAGCATGCAGGCAAAAGGAAAGAGTTGCAAGTGAGAAAAAAAAAATGGCAGCAGGAACAGTTCTGAATGGCTAGATCACCAAAAAGGAGACAGAGCAGATTAAATGTAGTATTTTTTTTGCACCACCCTTTGTCCTCGATGCATTACACCAACAAGTACAGAAAGCAATCACAAAAGAGTTCAGTATTTTAAAATGGTCAAGTATGGATGGTATGTCTCCTGCACATGCTTCCACCAGAAGGGGAGGGGGGGAGAAAAAGAAAAAGTGAAAAACAAAAGTTTCTTTCCACATAAGGCACAGGACAAAATAAACCCCACTCACATACTCAAGGCGAAAATGAGTGTTTTCCTGGCTCTTTTGCTGATGTATCTAGAGAATATGGTGACTCAAGCACATTATCCATGACAGAAAATTCCACTGTTGTACAAAATAAATTGTTAATTCTAACTTTTATTCTTATACAATTTGCAGAATAGAGTTGAATATGATTGCTATATGTTTTAATGTCAGGAAGAACGGGACTATAATACAACCAAAAAGTAGTGGTAAGTTGAGCAGGTACATTAAAAATGAAGTCACGGACATGATTTTCCTATACATGTTGTTGAGAAAATTATAGTACGCAAGCTGTCCTAAACAGAAAGACAAAGGGAGACAGCAGCTTGTTAAGATGAGGAACAAAACATTGGTTTAAGGTTAAAAACGGGCAGAGTGGTTTGTTTTGCAGCGAGAAAAAAGGGGCGGTGGATGGCGATTGGTGATATAGGAGAACGTTCAGCAACACTTGCTCTTCCAGCCTGTCACCCCACCTCCACTGCTGATATCTACATTTTCACTGTTGGGCTCTTTTACAGGGGTCTGCAATGAGACAAGTAAAAAAAGTTAGATAGCTCTTGCGACATTCTGCGACAGAGTAAGTATTCAGCGCGGAAGAGGCTTACAAAGACTTACATCACCAAACAGTATCATACGTAAACTGTGGACAAACACCTCCATTAAAACGTAGGCAATCCTCCTCCCCCTGTCAGCAAAAGTGTGCAAAACCAATCTGTGGGGTTTTTGGTTTTGTTTTAGATCAACAACAGCTGGAAATCTGGAACAAACTTTTGACCTTGGCCCACCCCAAAGTAAACTAAAACTACTTCTAGATCCTGCTTTTAGAACTGACACTTGGACTCTGGTGGAGTAAGTAAATCATAGCGTACAACTAACACAAGATATAGTTAAATTACGCGAACTAATGACCTTAAAAAGCCACAGAGTAATTTATGGATAAAGAAGGGCTGTTCAAAAGCACCTTCCTTCCAGTTACTCAGGACACTGGTTTGAGGCAGTGTACAAACAGGCTTGTCTGCATCACGGGATGTTAATTTTTGCTTTGGTCTAACCAAATTTAAGTCAAGTGGTTTTGATCAGACGCTACCATCCATTTTCAGCTGTTTAGATACTAATCTAAACATTCATGAGAATACTGCATCTATACTCCTTTTCTTATTCTCCTTTATCTCAGCCCCGCAAAAGTTAAGTCCCCCTCTTCTTCATATAAGCAAAGAGAGGCCCAAAGTACAATTTTAAAGATCCTGAGGGTCAACTAAGGGTTGCTGGTCGACCCTTCTGTTTACCACTGGCCAACGATTTGCATCCAATTCCTCACATAAAGCCTGTCAAGCACTGAGTAAGCAACAAGTCAAAATCAGAACGACAAACAAGAAGCTGTTAAGCAGATACGTATTGAAGAGGGTCGTGAAAAGACTCAGCATTGACCTCGCGCTAAACTCTTCATCAATTAACTCAGAATATTATCAATAGCGTTCGTGCAGTAAAGGAGCAGAAGACAGTAACGAAGGTAAAGTCTCTATACTGGGTAGTCCCTACTGCCGAGTAAGTTGGAGCACAAAGAAAACACATAAAGTCATTTAGGAACAAAGCACATATGTTAGAGTTGGCCAGCCCACGTCTCTCAAACTCCATACAGCTCCTGCGCTGAAGAGACACAACCTGATCATAAGCTGGGACGTGCTAGCACAGAGGTTACTGTGTAAATCAAGTCCTTGGCTATGGGAGAACATAAGCTAACTGAAACCAGCCCTGGGAGCCACCTGCATATCCAGATCATCCCGATCTCACAACAAACAGCGGGAGCTATTAGAAGCCAAAACACTTTCTACTCATGAAAGCTTTCAAGGGTACCCTGCCTCCAACCCTGTACTCTCAACTATAGCGGTGTCTTGCAGCTCCGGATCTAGGAAGATTTGGGTATGCAACTCAGAAAAGATAGCCATCTTTACAGTAGGCCATACTTTACAGGATGGAGAACTAACCACAAGAAGAACTGATTGTCCGTGTTCTTCTTACAGTTACAAAGTAAGCTTCCAGTGACAGCATCCAACAAAATACTGAGGTTGAAAGAGCTAACCATTAAAAACAGGGTAGGAAGTCACAGATCTAGTCCATCTGTTTCATCTGTCAACCATATCTAAATCACTCCTGACAGATACTTAGAGCTTTTAAAGAACATCGTGCATTGATGGAGACGACTGAAGGCGCTAACTAATAAACCAGCAAGCACCAAGTTGGAGGGGCAGAAGAGGGGAAAAGGCAGAGGTTTCCTTTATCTAAGAAAGAGATCACGACAGGATTCAGTAACTACACAATGAAATGAGGCACTGCAGAAATAAAGTTCACATTTTAAAACAGTAAGTTTTAAAGCGTAACCCACAGAACAGTTTACGGAGGCACCCATAGATTCGCCATCACTGCCAATTTTAAAACTATGATCAAGCAGTTTACTACGACACTTTCTAGTCACAAGAGAAATTCAAGGAAGCCCTGTGGCCCACCTCACGCAGACTGAACAGCAGTGATCATGGGCTCCGTGAACTCTGCTCTCCTCAGGATTTAACTTCAGGCATCCTGGACAGGGAGTCATAAACATTCAAATTCCCTGTCCAGGCAGCAGGAAACAAAGAAGGTGAGAGGGAAAGGACAACTCCCTTCTAGATCAATTCAAATGTTTTATCTCCAAGTCATCTACAATACAATTACGAGTTTAAGACTGAACTACTACTAGTTCAGATTCCTTCGCTCTTTGATGTACGTTACTCCCTCTCGGCAGTACCTCTGTACTAATGAGCCATCAAACAAGTATTAGAAGCTTTAAATGTATAATAGTCCTCCTTCAAGGACTTGTTGATCTTAGGGTACCAAAACAAGCTGCAACGATTCAGGTAAATTTCAAAAGCAACAGCAGCTGAAATTTTAGGATATTTTTTCAAATGATCAGATAAACAAAACCTGTCAGCACTTACCTTTCGAAGAATGTCTTCTGCTAATGTGAGGAATGCCTTCTCAATGTTTATATTTGCTTTCGCACTAGTTTCGAAAAACCTAATACCATGCTCCCTAGCAATCTAAACCAAAAAAAGAAAGCAGAAGGTTAGCATTACTGTAGAGTTACTGTATTGGTGCTGCTATAACTTTGGGACTAGCAAAATTTATAAGCGTATAATATTCTTTTAGTGCAGCAAACAGGAGGTGAAGTCAGGCAAACTGTCACAGAAGAAGATTCAGAACTTAATGACTAAAGGACAGCAATTAAAGTGTGTTAAATCACAAGTCAATGCCTGGACGTAAGATGATAGATAGCATACAAACCTGTCACATGACAAGCAACTTAACAAAAGGATGCCTGCCAAATTTTAGTTACCAAAGAAAGCAGAAACTGCAGCTGAACTCATTCCATGTGTGGCAGTTGTTCACAATGCAGCTGCTGAGAAAACATTCCCTAGACTTATAAATCATTAGTAAATCCAGCTATTTTGTTTGTTCTCCGGCATATCCCATTGTGGCATCTAAACAATCAGGAGATGGTGGGAAGTTCTGGCACTGATTTGCTTACTTTGATAAGCAAGTTTTTGTCCAACACTCACCTGTTCTCCTTTTGCTTTAGGGACAACTCTTTTATCTTCCATGTCACACTTGTTTCCTAACAGCATCCTCTCCACATCTTCATTGGCATGCTAAAATGAGATCAAGAGACAGGTTTACATACACACCTCCTCCAACAAACAGTAAATACCTACTTTACCTTTCTATCTCCAGGCTGCTGGAAGCCCAGTCTAATGTTTACACGTCTAGTTGACCTACGCTTTCCTCAGTCCTAACAAAGACTGCTAGAAATCATTCTCTAGACTAAAGAGCTCATATCCTGTTAGTGGAATGAGACAACAGCTACAGCTTGAGATAGCTCTTCCACCCCCGCCACCCCTCCCCAACACTAGTTATTTTTCCCCTTCCATTTTATTCCTGTAGTCTTATTGGGAAGTCTTCTGTTCTGACAAGGACCAAGCAATGTTTTGCAACCTGGATTCTTCTAGCGAAGGACATTAATCTATTGAATGTCGGTTAAGTTATATTCAATGACCTGGGAAAAGAATCAGCTTCCTGTCCCACACTTAGAGGTGCCAGGTTTCATATGCTCTAGACAAACACATTTATAAAAACGATGGTACGTAGGCCAAAACATTATGGGACAACAAAAACACCCAGGTCTAAAGCTGCCAACAATTGAGCTTCATGTGCTGAAAGCGGCTCCAGTTGACAGTACTTTTAATTTTTTGGTGTTCCAGGGTTGGTCTGCATAGTGTTATTGCAGACAAGCAAGTCTCTTTAAGAACTGCAATTATGCTTTCAACCACCACAAAGCCAAATAACTAAGAAGTTAGTAAGAAGCCCTCTCGCTTATATTTTGTTTATTTTCAGAGGAGTTACTGGGTTAAAAAACAAAGGGAAATTAGAGATCTCTAGCATCACGCTGTTCCTCTGATGTTGAAAACATCAGAGCAAGACTATGTGTCAGCTTTGGTCTTAGATCTTTCTGCAAAGTACCTCACAGAAAAGCTGGCAGCACGCTCATGCAGTGAAACAGGACTCAGACTATATACCAAGCACATATAAACAAGATATCACAATGGGAAAACTGAAGCGAGGCCATGCTAATGCTCAAGGCGCAAGTAAAAGTAGAATCACATATACAGGGAATCAGCTTTGCAAGGCAGAACGCAGTGCCAATGCTTTCTCAAGGAATATTGAATGAGCAAAAATATCCAAGCAGTTCAATTACTGAACTACTGCCAATGTCCATTACAGTAAGGAAACGATATGTCAAAGATATCCGTAAGACCGGCAGAAAAGTTCCAGCAGTCACAGCACAACGCATCACTTAAGTGGATAACTGACGTATTTTGAAACCTGACATGAGAAGCTTCTTGGAAGGTCTAATCCAAGTGTGCTTTCACTCCAACAGTATTAACACTACTTCACAGGAGAAGTCCTAATAGAACTAAACAGGCAAAAGATCCTTGTATCCAGTATTCCTGCTTACAGTACTAACCCATTTCATGTTCCTCAGGAGAACAAAGTGTGACCAGAATCACCCCCCTTCTTTTCCCTCGGGTCACAAGGGGGAAGAGGAACCAGACGGCAAAGGTAGATTAAGATTGTGTGCACTGAAAATACCAACCTTTCATACACACAAAGCTGTTTACATAGTAACAGACATGTTTCAAATGCAGCCAGCCCAAACACATAATACTGAGCACTTGAACAACTCGTCTAATTCCAAATAGCCAGGAGGAAAAGTCCATGGCATGGTATACCTCTGCAGAATTTGTGACCTTTAACTAACTATTTAACAACAACAAAGTTATAACATTCTCAGATATCTCTAGCTTTCCTCTTTACTTCTAAATCAGGGCTTACGTATCCTATAGAGGAGCCTCCTTGCAGAGAGTTGCAATTTAGAACATCAGCTTTCTTTATTAACAATTCTCACTGAGAGGATATCCTTTAAAATATTAACTCCTTGTAAGACCAAAGCACTTAGCTGCTCCTTTCACAACTACCAGTCTCAATAATCCTGTACACGTCAGTAGATAACACTTGTCATTCATTTTAGTGAGAAGCCTGAAGATGAGCTGGAATCTTAGAAGAATGACTTCACCCGTTACTTCTGCACGTGCACTTCATCAGTGAACTTCTTCCATAACAAAAACACCCCCTAAGGTGTCAAACATCGTCTATTAAACTGCAGAAATAATGCCCTCACAGCACACCTGTAATCAGCCACAGAGGTTTCTGCTACGCGGATCTGAAAGACTCAAGTCAGCAAATGCACTTGCTATCTCAGGCATAACGGTATGAACGACGTTCATTACTTAACATCCTGGATATCGCTAAGTTTTTTAAACAAAGCGGCTGCAGAATCTACAGGCCTTGGTCTCAAGTTCAGATTGAGCAAACTGCAGAGTCTTTTCCTTTGCTACCTTGTCTTTTTGTCTCTTACTTCTCTCTACCCACCTATACCTTTCCACAAACAGTATATAGTACTCCATTTCTCCTACTAGAAAATTCAAGGCCTGATACCACATTTTCATTCTCTTAAGAATCTTACACCAGTCTCAATGCTTCAAAGTTTGACAGCACCTATCTCCTGATGCTCAGTTCCACAAGCTCACCTTTGTGTTTTCTAGCATGAAAAGGAAACTGGCAAACCTACACACTTATTCCATTTGAAGATAGCATTATACAAGTAGAAAAACTGATAGGTGAGCTGCTCACGTATCAGAACTCCCCAAGAACGGACTCTTTAGGACTTAGTCACTTAGGGTTTCCATACTGGTTTCATTTGACCTCACTTGAAATGTTACCAACCTCCTTTTTTGGTATTCCTCTAACAAAGGCAAAAATCAACTCTCCAGATTCGAGTACGTTGCTAACATTTGACGAAAGCAGTCTGCAATACCGCCTGTAACAGTTAGCAATAACAGACCTGCAAATATATCCTAACATCAGTTTTGAGGGAGTGAAAGGAATCACATTTAATTATCTTTGAGGATTTACACAGTCAGCTTAATAAAATAGGTTAGTACAGATTTCTGTAGGTGATCCATTCTCATAGCTACTCCACAGGTTCTGTCTCAGTAGGATTTCCTTGCACACCACTTTGTGATGGCAGCTCTTCTTGAGAACTTAAATTCCTAGTCATTAAAGTCATGTATCTCTTTCCTCCAAGTATTCTCCAGCACAGAAATTAATTTTGTTCACGTTTGAACTCTGACATTTCAGCGCAGTGACATCAGTAGCCACAGCGCAGTGTTGTGACCCTTCATGCCATTGTTGAAGGGAGAGTTGAGGGAGGGAAGCAACATAAGTCAGTCTAAGAGCAGCATCCAAACCTCCATATTAAATTATCCACAGCACCTCCCGCCAGGGTAGAACTAGTAGCCGCACTCCCAAAACTGGGTTCTGTGGCACTCATCACACGTTCTATGGGTCACAACAAACAGCTCGAAGTCTAGGATCTTAAAGACACTACTCACCTCATCTATGTTTCTGAGCCACTTGCTGATGTTTTCAAAGCTCTTGGCATTGGTGATGTCGTATACTAGCATGATTCCCATGGCACCTCTGTAGTAAGAGGTGGTGATGGTGTGAAATCGTTCCTGCCCTGCTGTGTCCCTGCGAAGAATAGAGATAAGAGCGCACATCAGAGGCGAGCACTAAAGAAAGTAGCATGGTAGATCTATTAGACAAGCGGGTATGGCTGGGTATGTGCTCTATTACTCCATTACCTAGGATGTGCAACTCTTCCAAAGAACGGTAGTTTTTCTTTTTTGGATTTCACTTTAAAGGGGATTAAAAACAAACAAACAAACAAACAAACCTTTCAGAGTCAACTACATCGAAGGCAAAGATATTGGACTGCTTAACCCAGTTTACATAACTTAGGAGGAAGAGGAAGCTATCTGTTGAACAGCAGAGTGGTAAGTTATAGCAATTAAAGCTGGTATCAAGTTATGAAAGAATTTTGCTAATTTTAAAATGTGTTCCTTTTTTAATGAAAGCCATCGTAAGTTGACAACTTGAAACTTGTGCCCAAAAGACGTTTTTATTTTGAAGTTTCATATCTTAAGAAAGCGTTTCAAAGACTTTCGAGTATCAGCGAAGCCTGGTACCTGACAGAACGCAAACAGGAGAAAGAAATGCTCTAATAATATTTCAACATAACCGTGAGCTTCAGCACTGGGAACATGTCCGAGTAACCCTAGAAATGTTCCGCCGTCCAAAACATTCTCATTTTACAGAGCAGTTCTTCCAAAACAAACACACAACTGCAAGTCACTTGAGGACACCAACTACAATCTTTAAGTTAAACATAATAACCACTGACCAGCTTGATTAGATAGCGCATGAACCTAGCAGATCCAGTACTGAAGTTTCTGTACGGGGTTCCTAAAACGTTCTAGGTTGTCTAGCAGGGCTGCTCTAGGAGTCAGAAAAGACTGGAAACGCAACCAGTGATGACTTGACCCAATTAACCAATCCAACAAAACCGCAGTGAGTGAGAAGGTCCCTTTCCATTTCAGCAACCGCTGGGCAGCCATGAAGACAACGGCTCAACACTTTGAGACTCAGATATATCTATCTGAGAAAAAAACCTGCTTTCAGATCAGGTTTATAAAACTTTAAATTCATCTCTACAAACTTATATTCCTGAAATTTTAGGTCAAGAGGAGGGTATAAAAAATAAATCTAAGATACATACTCCAACTTCGTCATCAATTTCTATAAGGAAGATGCTGAAAATTGGTTATGAAAGGTTAATGAAGGCACATTTCTCATCTAATTGTGAGACCTCTGATGGGATGCATCCATTTGTTGGAAAAAACAACAAAAAATAACTTGCATGCCATTAAGTTGAGTATTTAGTTAACTGCATATTCAGTTAACTGCATATATGTGCCTTTTGGAGGACATAAACCTGACAGACTACATATTTACAGACAGTTTTCAAAGACACTATTCACACAAGCTAGAAACAAAGGTATCTCCAAACTTAAACTGATCTAAGTTGTGACTAAACATTCCCTAACTGCCTTCAGAAAGATTTCAGTCCAGATTTCCACAATTCTGTGCTTTTTTGAGAACTACGCTATAGGTATTAGAAACACCTCTTTAACCGCTAACAGAAAACAGCTGAGCATACAGCATTCCCCACCTGACCCACAGGCACCAGTTTCCTCATTCAGAAACCAATAACCTCAGAAAAGATCCCAGACTGAAGTTAAACTAGTTCAGTCCATTTCCCTTTCAGCTCTATCTGAGGTCCTAGCAAACGCCTCATCAGGATACAGGAACCACAGGGCAGCCAGCCGCTTGTGAAAATCCAGCTCTCTCCACCACCATGCCACCTACAGTTGACCTAAGAAACACTGACTGTAGTTGCTAAATCAGTTTGATTAAGCACAACACAGTAGAAATCCAGCCACGTATCAGTTTGCTACATGGCCCATGGGGAGTAAACCAAAAGCCCTTAAACCCCCAACACGAGCGAGGAAAAGCTCCTCTGCCTCTTATGAGCTCTGTTTGGCTTGGACCGCAGATCTCTGTTCCAGCGCACAAGATAGCAGCCTGTCTGCGTCCCAGTCCTTTTCCATATCAAGTAGATTTTCGGACATTCAAACAATTGATTATACATGAACTTCATAACTTTGCATTTCTCTCTGCTGAATTTCACCGAGCTTTTTCAAGGGCATTTTCCAATCAGTCAAGAGAAGTCTGAATTATAATACAATCCCCTACATAATGAATATTTTGCAACTTCAGCTCTTCCTGCTTATCTTAAATACAATAACCATACTACTCCTTCATCCAAATCGTTAAAGGAAATATTGCCTATCATGAAACTCAGGACAGGCTCCTTCAAAACACGTCAGCAAAACTCCCACTTACACAGTTTAATTCTTCCCCCGCAAGGTTTGTATCCACTTGATAGGGAAAAATGAATTAGGTGATAGAACTAACTTGTTCACATGATGCAGGATAGTGTCAGAAAAGCCTTACTAAAATAAATAAATAACAAGAAGAAAATGATTTTGTGATTTCTCCTCTACTGACAAGACTGGTAACTCTGTCACAGGAAAAATTTTAGATTGATTTTATGCAACCTGGTTTTGGCAACACTCAGCTGTTACTCATTTCTATCCTCTCCTAGTTGCCTAACCCTGACTTGCTTAGTTAACTCCTCCAGTATTTTTTCTGGGAATTGAAACTAAGCAAGTGGATGAAAAGAAGGCTGGGGAGGGAAAAAGCAAAGAACTGTATTTGCCCTTTCCCCTTCTTAATGGATCTCTCCATTCATTATTCAAAGATAACTCTTAATGGATCTGATATTAGAGAACTGATTGATGCAAACAACACAGGGGAAAATGAGTTATGTTTTCAAACTGTCCAAGAATGATGAATCCACCTCGTGTAAACGGCCTCTGAGGATGTCTTGTTCACTGCCTCACGTTTCCACTCTGTTGTTCTAAACCTCTAAGACATAAGCATCTGCTCGAAAGCTATGGGTGCCTATTAAACCCTTGCTGTAGGTAAGTGTCTGTGGAAGCCGGGGAACATCTATGCCCAGGGTCTAGAGCGCTCCCTAGCCAGCCCGACCGCAGCAGTCAAAAGTTCTCCAAGCTAAAATAAACACAGGACTATTAGGGTAGCCAGGGAAAACGAGACCCTACTGCACAAGAGGGGACTAAGAGAATTTGGCTTGTTTAGCTGCAAAACGAAGGCTAAGAAGGTTGTCTTGTGTAAACAGTGAGGGGAGGGAAAACAAAGTGAAAAATCTATTTAAATTATTCACTTTCCAACAGTCAAATATGCCTAAAGTATACGACATTAAAAGTCTAACCAAATGAGAAAGGCATTTCTGGGACAGCTTTCCAACAGACCTAGCTGAGACCAAAAACGCCTTACAGTGTAGTATGATTTGTTTATGAAAGGTTTACATGGTTGCAACAAGAGATTATATCTGATGATCTATCAAGACCCTTCTTCCACATAGCATGAAATAAATGTCTGATGTATTAAATCAAATAATTTCCAAAATAAAAAAAATAAGGTTTTTACTCATGTCCCACTGTACCTTCTAGAAACATTAACAAAAAAAAACCTCAAGAAACTGTACTGCAGAATACTGCATTGAATGACTGAGACGGCAGTGCTAATATCAGCTATACTCCAGAAGCTGTAGTAACTGAGTAGAAGACTTTCCTGCACAGAAGAACATCCGTAAGACTTCATGACTGGCAAATTTCAGCTTTTCTGAAGAAATATTCATCTAGAAAAAATGTATATAGAAATTGATACACACCAAATGGTTCAAAAGCTATCAACAGCATCTTGGGGTAATATAAAAATTAATAAGATTGATCTCACATCCAATTAGTGGAGCTGTTTGCAGCTGTAGGTGGACGCCACCACGCTCCTTACATGCAAGCTCTTGAATGTATTAGGGAATCCACACAAGTGTAACTATTTCAGTTTGCTACATTGATGCACATTTCTTTTACTTAGCCTGGTGTTCTGCTTGGGTGATTATTTTTGCAACTACTAAGCAAGGAAGGTAAGTTGCTTTAGAAAAAAAACATATTCTGAAGCTCAATGCAGAATAAAACATAATTTTGCAGAAACTTTTCTAGCCATATAAATGTGTTCCTAGGTATGATGCACTGACAGAAGAAGTTTACTTTATGTTCTTCTACAGGAATTTAAAAATTGCGTATTTAAAATAAAGTTATTTCTAGAATTTGGAGTCAGTCAACAAGACCACAGGAAAACACACTGACATTCAAGTTTTACATAAAGACATGCAGCTCAGAGTGGCAGTTAGGTAGGGGGAAAAAACGTTGAGATGTCTTCAGTTCTCTAAATTAAATGCTTTTATCACAAAAGCAATTTTGTCCTCTTGCTGATTCCATATTAATAGCTGCTCTATTATAACTCTATCATAAAGTTTAACTGTTGTATGTAACACTGAAGAGAACTTCCCAATTAGGAGAAGATGAGAATTTGTCTTCCTCAGCTTTGGAAGATCTTCAGTCTTTAGCTTTTTAGAAGTCAACTTTCTGGCATTAGTTATGCTAGTCACAGCATTACAACAAGCCTGCTCAGACCTTACAGGGCAGCAATACTGCAAACGCGCCTGTCCTCGGTGCAATAAGAGGCAAGCACTTCACTAATGCGTACCTACGTCCCAGTCTAGTAGAGTTCCTTGTTACAGGCCTGACAACACACACTGCGTATTGATAAGTTGCCAGGAAAACTGTTAAAACAGAAAATTCACAAATGAGAAATCAACAACAGTTAGTCCCCAAGAACCTTTACCAAACTCTTTAATATAGCTCTATCCATATATTTTGGTTAGTCTTTAAGAATCAAGGTACTGAAATATAACTTATATGCCCTGGGTTTGTTTATGGAAACTTGGATTACCTACTATACTTGCTTGCAAAAGCAAATGCTGATCTCTTGAAAAGGCTAATCACTCACCCGCTATTCACCTAACACCCCTCTGTTTATAACCCCAAGAAACCTGTATGTAAATACTGCAGCTATTTCTTGAATGGCTTTCTGCCCTCCCACATGCCACATTGTCAGTATCGGAGGGGGGGGGATGTTTGTTT